CAGCTATGACTTGCTGGTCTAGGCTGCTCTTCCATGTGTTTGGCTCGTCTATGCCGCGGATGCAGTGTATATGGTGCGTTCCTAGCAGGCGAGCGAGTTCTTCGCAGGCTGCTGGTTGAACTTGAGCTGGATTAAATGACTGTTTCTCTCCGTCCGTCGTTCTGCCTACTCCGATGTAAGGTGGAAGATGCTCCCTGCGGGCTTAGCCGCGAATGAACATTTTTCCCAGAAGGTTGCTCATGTTGACTATGGAAGTATACGCTATCTCGGGGGCCCAATCAGGAGTGTACACTGCCCGAACGCTCGGCTCGTGGCTGGTCGAGTGGCTGCTTGCCGGGACGCTGCTAGAAAGGTTCGTCCGCCCTTGTCTTACTTCGGGATACCTCATCCGGGGCACATTGGATCCCGGTGCGTTGCAAAAGTTGATTCACCAAGGTTGTCTGTTGTGCAAGGGCCCTCGTCACTCTATGACTTGTCGAGACAAGTGTTGTTCGCCATTTAGATTAGAAGAGTTTGGAAGGAATGCGCCTCATTGGGCAGTGGAAGGGTGGTAGGCTCCGGGAGCGAGATTTGAGCTGGGAAATGTCAAATTCGCGAAAAAATATGGTGAGAATGCCCCCGGCTCGATGGTAGATCTGGATGGTTGAGATAGTCTTGGGGCTACTTGGGCTGCTTGGAAAGCCACAGAAGTAGGCTGGGCCACGAGAGCAGGCTGAGTCGTGAGAGTGGGTTGCTCGACGGGAGCAGGCTGGGCCACGGGAGTGGGCTGCTCGTTGGGAGCAGGCTAGGTCACGAGAGCAGGCTGCTCGGCATGAGCAGGCTAGTCCGCGAGAGTAGGTTACTTGGCGGGAGCAGGCTGGGCCACGAGAATGGGCTGCTCGACGGAAATGGGCTGCTCAGTATGTGATGCATATGAATGCAAGTCTTGGGCTCGGACCCGTGCAAACTTGGATGGCACGGCTTGGGCCATGGTGGAACCTTGTAGTGGTGGTACCATTCCGCCTATGACCACATTTAGTCTCGTTGATCGTCGCAGTCCCATTTCTTGAGTATTAGAATTTTCACTTGTGAAATTTTCTAAATTTCTAGCCATTATATTTTTCTTATACATTTTATCAAAGAACCTTTGCAAATAAAAAATTCTAATAATAAGAAGATATGAAAAATATTCTAATGGACTAGAAAATAAAGAAAAACATTTTTATGCGAGAGTCTTCTATAAGTATGGATCTCAACTCTCAATGAAAGCACCAATTTGTGGATGCAAATTTCTTCCTCCTTGATCTTGGACTATTTTGCACCTACAAAACAATTAACACCTTAGGTTAAGGACAAGAGCCTCACACGCCCACGATGAATGGGGGGGGGCTTTGGCCGAAGAACCTCCGATGCCAAAGTTAGAATTTAGAGAGAAAGAGTGTTTAGAGAATTTTGGGATTTTTGCCAAAGTGTTGGAATGAGTTTTTGGTGAAAATAGGAGCCTATTTATAGGGCTAGGCTTGGCCATTTTTTCCAAGGAATGGCCGGCCCTTGAAGGAGTTTTTGTGGTTGAGATTTTGGTTTAATTAGCCAATTTATTGGCTAATTGAACCTTAAAGAATAAATTGGTGGGTACATATTTATTTAGAATAAATTGATAATTAGGTTATGAAAAGGTCATACAGAATAACTAAATAATTAGCTAAAAAGGGGAGAAAAGGGTAAGGAAAGGTAGGAAATAGGATGGATCCCTTTTTAGATGGGGATGGCCGGCCATTGATGTGGTTTTGGGTGGTTTATTTGATATAATGGGTGACTTAATTGATATTTAATGGATTAATTGGGTAATTAATCCATTAATTAACCAATTAACATAATATTTTGGAGGTTACCTTGCAAAAGGGAATTTGATGAGATAGACTTTGAATTGTTTACCTCTTTTGGAGCATCTCTGACTTTGTTGAAAAAAGATTGTCAACTGCTTGCGCGTAGAGATCCCGGTGTACCTCGGGGGTATTTTGGTCATTTTCGTCCAACAATCCACGTGTCGCCTTATGATTATTTTTGGCTCCACAGAAATTATTAAAATAATTTAGGAAAGAAGCATAACTAGAAACTCAACACCCTATCCACAGGATATTGAGCCCCATGCAAAGTGATGGATAACTTTAAGTCACTATTTAGCAGTGTCATCAAAATAAAAACATTGGATGTAAACTTTTTTTTTTTCTCCTCAATCATATTTGTTAAGAATGATGAAATCTTCAAGTGCGTGACATCAAAATAATAGGCAAATAATGTATCTTTTTTTCCTCAATCACATTTATTAAGAATGATGAATAGCTTCAAGTCATTGTCGACCAATGCCATCAAAATAATAGCATAAATACACATCCCCCGGATCGAGTTTTAATTTTCCGCCCAGTTGACTATAGTGCTTTAGCAAGTGCAACGACGGTGACGTCTGCCTCCACTATGCAAGTATTGTTCATCAAAAAGCCTTCGTCTGCCTCATTCAAAGTGACCAGTGTGATGAATGACGCCCGACCCCAACTCCTTTGGGAAGCGCTGAACCAAAAATTACCTACAAGTAAAAACAATTCTTAGTAATTGCCGCACCCTATTTCGGGGTTTCATTAATTGAGAAGTGTGCGTTGTATATCTTTCTTTAGGTAAGATTTATGTTCCTTTCTTTTCCTTCTTTTTTTTTTTTTTTAAAGTTTATGTCTATGTAACTTCTTATTTCTTTAAAATTTCCTTTATACTATTGAGGTTTAAATAAAAATATTCTTCAACGAAAGGAGACTATACATGTGTGGTTACATTACATATAACATAAAACGCATAAATAGGGACACTCTTTACCTGATATACAACAATGAAGCTTGTGATGCATTTGATCTACAATGCGCAAGGTAATCTTTGTAAGGATTTGGGAGCGAGGATGTAACTTTTTTACATCAGCCAATGTTAAGTAAAGTGAAAGATGGGTACCCTTTGAAGTACTATTTCCCTTGGGATATATCACTATCTTCCTGCAATAACCAACAAATTTGTGTAAAGTAAAACTCCAAATAACGTACAGGTTTTAATGAAGATGCATTGAAGCTAAAAGCATCGATCTCCTTTCGTTCCTGGTGAGGGAGAGAAGAAAGTTGACAGTCATAAAAAAGAATGCTTGCTTAGTTTACCATCTCTGGTTCCCTGCGGTGAATGGTTTGGAGTAATAGCATTCATCTTTTAACTTTGAAAATTTCTTAATCTTCCAAACATCCGTGTACTTTGCAGCATTCTTGATCATTGATATGCACGTTCCCTTGCCTGCTCTTCTTTCTTTACGAACAAAGACCTCCGCTCC